CCCAATGCGTTTCTTTTCCTATGTTAATGACACTGACTTGTCTGAGGCAACCACTTTTTTAAAATCTCGACAATGGCTGGCCGTTTTGGACAATTTCCCCTGTTGAGCATTCGAACCAGAGTATTCCCCGACATAGTCCAGGATCATGTCCATTGAACCACTCGCCGGCGCCTGTTTCAGAGGCGGGGCTTCCAAATTTTACCTCCATTTCAAGCAGGTTTGAGCCAAATGTGTTGGGAGACGTATGCACTCCCTAAAAAGTAGAACCCGTCAAAGACAATGACTTTTTCAAACGAAGACTTCCCCCCCCCCCACCCCCTTGCGTTTTTCCTATGATAATGACACTGTCCGAGAAGCCCACCAGTCTGAATCAACCACTTGTTATCTCGACCGTGGCTGGCCTTCTTGGACAATTTCCCCTGTTGAGCTTTCGAACCAGAGTCATCCCCGACATAGTCCAGGACCTCAGCCTCTGGGCTACCGGCACGCATGAGGGGAACATGACTTGCGATATTTTATAACCAAAGAAAAAGTAAAAACGCCCAGACTGGTTTTATTTGTAAATCATGCAGGAAACCACTGAATGGTTTTAATCTTAAGACTCGGCACGAAAGGATGATAGGTCATAAAGATTTTTTTAAAACTTGTTGTCACGTGGATTTATGTTGAGAACACGGAAATCAGTTATCAGCCATCCGTGTCCAAGTGCTGTTTTACCCTTGATAAACTGGCATTCTGACGAAAGGCCGTTATTAAGCAGATCCCGGTCTGTAATGTGCGCTCAAACACCAGTCTCTGTTTTGTTTGTTTTTTGTTTGATTTTATTTTATGATTAGATTAGCTGGTTTCGAGGAACAAAGCCCCCAATTTTTCAGCGACCACTCTTCCTTGAACACGCTTTCTTCATTTGCATCTGAATAAACCTGGCAGCGCATAGATAGTAAATTTACTTTTCCCAGAGGAAAAAAGAAAAGAATTACCATCTGAGATTTGAGCCTGTGTCATGTAACATCAATATATTTGTTGCGGGTAGCCTATTGGTGTCTGCAGGTGCCACAGTTGGGATCTTCTTTACCAACCACATTCACACTGTTGTTTCTGCCACTCGGTCTTGCTTTTCCCCCAGCACTAAATAACTGTTATCGTGTCGATGCCCGTCTCTGTTACCGAAACATCAAAGCAGAGTGTAGACTTCACACACACACACACAGTCACAGCCCCGTCTGGCTGCTAAAGTAAGGGGTGGACAATTCTGTGTAGTAGAAACCTGGGGAGGACATTTTTCCATAGTCATAGTAGTATACTGCCGTACGCTGACAAAACGCCTTATTTATTACACAACAGTTTAGGGATAAATATACTTTTTTGTCAGTGTAACCATTAAAAAAAAAATATTCTTCCGAAATTTGAATTCTAATATATGTATTTTAAAAAATCAACTTGTTTCGCTTTGATATTTACACACAAGTAGGATAACTGACCAGGCTTTAGATTTAGCCAATTAAAAAAAAAAACGGCACTAAAAACGTAAAAAAAAAGAAAGGTGTTTTGTCAGCTAGCGGCTGTATAATAAATATGCCGAAGGCGGACGACTCTCTGTAGTCTGTAGTACATTGTAGTAGTTATATAGCGAGAGGGTAAGGTTCAGGGCAGCGGGCAGTCAGTAGAACCAAAGATAGTACATACAACCTGCCGTAAGGTATAGTTCTACTATCCTTGGTATTGGTAGAGCCACGAATCCCTCGCAGAGCGCCGCGCGACGAAAAACGACGTACCTTTCATTTAGCCCGCGCTAGAACCAAGAACGACGGACGGACGGACAGACGGCTCGCCAGCGACTGAGGCGGGTAGACTTGCGCGGAGAGCGGAGAGTGGAGAGTGGAGAGTGGAGCGAGCGACGTACGATCAACGACGAACGAAACGTCCGCGCTGTGTCTGGAGCCTGACTGAGGTGAATGGTGGCGGGGCAGCGGTGACGACGAGAGAGTTCTGAATTCAGAGCGCGGTGAGATGGGACTTGATCTTGCTTGGCCCAAGATCTACTACACCGGCGTCAATTTGTAGCCCGCGCGGGGTTTCTGGTGTCGTCAAGCCAAGCGCAGCTGCTCCTCCGTAGTTTCTTTCACTTGATTATATTATTTAAAATCTTCCCAGGAACTTTTAGACTCGACTTCGGGCTCGTCGTGTTTGGATTCTGGGCTTTATTGGATTTATTTAGATTTGCTTACGTGGTGGAGTTTGTCGCAGTGGATTTCTGGAACACGGATATTGACGGATTGTGAAAGGTGGTCGTGCAGTTTTTCCAATATAGTTTTTTTTTTTTCAACACGGCTTCTGTAGAGAACAATACAAGATAAGAAAATTCTATTTCATGAAATCATGGACGGATTAAGGTCTGAGTTTGTGCGCGGGCTAGAGTATGTTTGTGTGTATTCGGAATAGGATTAGCTGATCGAGTGGTAAACAGGTGAGTGTGGGGGTGGTTGGATCAAATAGCGTCGAGCGTTTGGGGAACGGCTTTTGTGTTCTTTGGGGTGTTGCCGGGGTGTTTAAGAGCGACTGCACGATGATGATGATAATAATATTAATGTTAATGTTAATAATAATAATGATAATACTACTACTACTACTACTAATAATAATATAATAATAACATAAACAGCAGCAACAACAACAACAACAACAACAAAAATAATGATAATAATAATAATAATAATAATAATAATAATAATAATAATAACAATAATAATAATAATAATAATAATAATAATAATAATAATAATAATAATAATAAGTAAAAAAAAAAAAAAAAATTAAAAAAAAAATAATAATAAAAAAAATAAAAAATAATAATAAGAAGAAGAAGAAGAAGAAGAAAAAGAAAACAATAATAATAATACCTCTCTTTTCAACCAATGTTATATTATAGCATAATATTAATCCTAATATTAAGCCTCTTTACCGTGATGTCTAGCTTGAAGCTGTGTTCAGAATACCCGAAGCGGTTGGCTGTCGGTGAATATGATAATGATCATGTAATCAAAGAGATTTTGTAAAAAAAAATGTGAATGAGCCACTGATGGTTCTATTGCTGACGGGTGGTACTTGGTTATTTTCCTCTTGACTTGATAAGACCTTTCAGAGAAAAGAAATTGATTGTAATAGATGTATCTACATTAATTAGTGATATTATTGGTCTCGAAATTATGGTAATATCAGTTACAAAAAACTTGTTGAGAGAGAGAGCGCGAAGAGAGAGGAGAGGGGTCGATGTGAAAGAGCGAGAGAGCGAGCGAGAGCGAGAGCGAGAGAGAGAGAGAGAGAGAGAGAGAAAGAGGGGGGGAGGGGTCTGAAGTACAGTTGGATATAACATTATTAAACGGCAATTTAGTTTGTCAATTTTGACAATGAACAATCTGGCAATATTCTAGCCCAGTTATTGATTGGTAGGCCAGGTTTCCCTAAATTTCTCGGTTATTGCAGTTTGCTCTCACAAAACATGGGGTTTCAGTTGCAAGAGGAGTCATAACTCTCCTGTCGTTCCAAGGCAGACGGACGTATCTGCAAAAATTATTAATTTTTGCATCTTCGCTTAAATGGACGCCTATACCCTGTCTGCATCTTGTGACAAAGACAAGAAGACCTATCTGTACTACAAATAGGAGATTTCACTATGGCAAACAGACGTAACTGAAGGAAAGGCAGGAAGACGTATCTGCACTACAAATAGGAGACTTCACTGTGACAAACAGACGTAACTGAAGGGCCTTGCCCATATTTCCAATGGCAGCGTGACGCAACTCAAAATCATAAAAAGTGCAGATACGTCGCTTTGCCTTGGCACGGCAGTGTCTTGGTGCTGTTTAAAATATACCTCGGATTATGCAGTGCTTCTTTTTAATTTCTTTTTCAATAAAAATCCTTCCCTTAGAAAAATATAACGAACATGACACCTATAGAAACCTTGTTATTTGATACTGGAAAACTGGAGCCCCAATAAAAAAGGGAGAGAAAAAAACCCACACACATACGCACAAACACACTCACACACTCACACACACACACACACACACACACACACACACACACACAAGCACGCACAAGCACGCGCACACGCGCACAGACACACACACACACACACACA